TATGTGAGCATAAAAATCTCAGAATGCAAGACCCTGCAGTAAAAGGATTCTTTTTTACAAACCTCGAATATAAGTGAGGCTTAAAGATCGGAAGTATCCTAGTAGTGTGTTACGGATCCTGTTTGGTTGAGAAATCTTTTATGAAATACCAGCAGTGTGCTGAGATGGACACGGGCCTGCGGGTGGCGTTGTAACAGGGGAGGATGCCGAAGAGTTCAGCTCAGCCCCCTGTGGTGAGGGCAGTATTGCACCTTGCTGCAGACTGCCTGCCCCTAGTGTCTGGAGACCCTCCCTCCACACCAGCCCATCTTCCAATCTTCCACAAAACCGTTAATTTCTCATAGCACTTACACATGGCTTAAAATTTCCTGTGAACCTGTCAGAATCTTCCCCTAGAGTCTAGAGCCATGACTCCTTGACATCAGTATCCCTGATAGTTTCTTGTGTGTTCTGTGTGCCGAGGTGAGTGCTTGGCACATACGGGGTTCAATAAGTAATTGAGGAATAACTGAATAAAAACATAGGTATTTTAATAAGTGAAGATGGCACAGCCATTATTCTAATACGCATTCAGTTTAAATGAACTGGTTAGATCCTTACAAGAACTGTGCGAGGTATTTGCTTTGTCACAGTCGCTGTTTAGAGATGAGGATAGCAAGGCACAAAAAGAATAAGCAGCTTATCCAGAGTCACCCTGCTAATTGGCTTCTGTTCCCACCACCATGCTTTATGTGAGCCAGAAAGCCCAGAGGAGAGGTCTGGAGTGACACTTGATGCTTGAGCTGGGTTCCAACACAAGAGTTAAAGCTGGCAGGTGAGGAAGCAGAGGGGGGCACTTCAGACAGAGGGAATCTAGCCAGGGCAAGGACCCAGAGGTGAGAAACAATTCAGGGAACTGCTGGGTGTCACGCGGCAGGTGGGGAGTTGCAGAAGATGTTGGAGAAGTCGGTGGTGATTGCGTCATAGAACACTGAGTGCCTCTCCCATCAGTATCATAGGCGTTTAATAAATGCCTATGTGCAGATGTTGGACTGGATGTGTTACCTCACCTGGGGGCTCAGGAAAGGCGTCCTAGAAATGATGATCCCTGTGCTCTCCTGGGGTTGCAGACTCAGAAGGGTAAGGGGCCAAGCAGTTAACCCCCATTTGTGAGTGGGAGCAGGGCCTGGGATAGCCAGGAGAGTGTGTTTGCCTTCTGAAGGCACAGCCACACTTGACTCTTGCCAAGTTCCATGAGGAAGTAGGGGCCGAGTCTCCTTTTTAAAATTTTTATTTATTTTATTTTTTTAAACGTTTATTTATTTTTGAGAGACAAGGAGATGTAGAGCGTGAGCAAGGGAGGGGCAGAGAGAGAGGCAGACACAGAATCTGAAGCAGGCTCCAGGCTCTGAGCTGTCAGCACAGAGCCTAATGCGGGGCTTGAACTCACAGACTGCAAGATCATGACCCGAGCCGAAGTCGGAAGCTTAACCGATGGAGCCACCTAGGTGTCCCAGGGCTGAGCCTCTTAAAAGAACTAATTCTTTTTAAGACCAGTTAGGAATCTGAACTTGTATGAGAAGTCTCTCAACTTTTAAATGTTAGTTTGTTTTCAAACACATCAGGGTTATGGGGTTGCCACATTTAGTGAAGAAAAATACAGCACCAGTTAAATTTGAATTTCAAATAACAAAACCATTTTTTCTTATATGTGTGTTCTGCATGGGATGTGCTTATACTAAAAAAATTCATTGTTTATCTGAAAATCAAATTTAGCTAGGCATTTCATGTTTTTATCTGGCAACCTTAAGTGGGAACCAAACATAATTTGTAGTCTGCATACAACTCACAATTTGCAGCTGCTGTTCAGTGTGCATTATTAGGCACGTGAGACACTGGGAGAGGAAGAGGGCTGGTCATGGAGGCCCTGTGCCATGAAGGCATCTGGGTAACTCAGTATAAGAAAAAGATCCAAGAGCTCGGGCCTTGGGACTAGGATGGGTTTCAAAGGCACAGACTCCCTTATTTTCCTCAGCACCATTATTCTCTGGTTCTCCCCACACATTGGCCTCATTCTCTCCTATCGCAGAAACTTCTCCGCGAGGTGAGGAGCATAGCTGTGGATGCCCCTAAGGGCAGCCCTGCTGGAAAAGGCCCCTTTCTCTCAGGAAGGTGTCAAGTCTCAGTGGCATCATATGCCCATATCTTTATCAGTATTGTCAAGGGGTGAGAATTTCCTGTTGTCCGAGACTGAGTAAAGTGCCTTGACGAGAGGCGGCAGGTTTAATGGTATGTAGTAAGCATTGGTAGCTTGGAACTGGCTGTGGTGAGAATATTGATATGTGGAAATGGGCAAAGGTACTTATCAGAACTTTTTTTTTTTAAACCAGCATATATATGACTGATAATAGCAAATATTTCAGTTGAATTTACTTGTATGTAAGGCACTGCTCTAAAGCACTTTACATCTGTTAATCCCACAGCACTGGTTCCCTGCAGTCAGGATCATGATGTGTATTTTTTATTACCCATAGTACTTTGTACCTCAGAGTGACTCAGTCCATTTTTGATTGATTTTTTTTTAATGATTCAATGAAAATCTGTATAATGCATAAAGCCAATGATTTTCAGTCATCTCTGGACTTCAGGAATCCTGTATGGCCTCACCTGGACCCCACCCTATCTTGGAGGCCTGAAATTTCCAGGTGGTTTTAGGAGCCATCACTGGTTCTGAATCACTGCCAGGATTGAGAAGTGCTGATATGTAGTGTTGACATAATGTAAGCCTGTTAACAACTGACCTGGATCAGGGTCGCATTGCATTGCATGGGAGTGAATGTATAGTGATTTTAATTAGCTTTAGAATAGAGAACAGCTCTATTTGACAGGGAGCTTTTTTTTTTTAATGTTTATTTATTTTTGACAGAGAGAGAGACAGAGACAGAGACAGAGCATGAGCGGGGGAGGGGCAGAGAGAGGGAGACACAGAATCCAAAGCCCGAAGCAGGCTCCAGGCTCTGAGCTGTCAGCACAGAGCCTGATGCGGGGCTCGAACTCACGAACCTTGAGATCATGACCTGAGCCCAAGTCAGACACTCAACCGACTGAGCCACCCAGGCGCCCCTGACAGGGAGCTTTTGATTTCTCTGCACTCGTTCCCTGATGCTCACACCCAACTCCCAAATCCAGATGTGTGTGGGTCTCTGGGTTTCTGGATTTGGTGTGCTCCCCTTCCCCTGGATTCACCCAGCTAACTGCTACATCTTGCAGAGGTCAGTGTAAACATCATCACCTCAGGGAGGCCTTCTCCCATTCCTTTTACTGTGTCTCTGCTCTCTTCCCGCTTGTGCTGTCTCATGCTGCCAAAACCTGTCATGGCTTAACATATGGGAGAAAGGTCGAGTTGCTCAAGAATCTTCTCAGACACTGCTCAGTCAGACCCCAGACCAGCATTCTGCCTCAGGTCCGAGGGCATCTGATGCTGACTTAAGAACCCTCAAGGAAGGAGAATGGGGTAGGGCCAGTGTGGACTTTCATCCACCTTCTGCCTCCTCTTTGTTTGGTATACACAGTTCTTTAAAAATCAAGCCAACTCTTTAGAAAAAAATAAGACACATTACCCCAACACTTGGGATTTTGTTGTTGTCGAGAAATCGGAAGATCTATCAACCATCGGCAGAGCATTTATCTTTGTACTTGTTTCCTGAAGCTTTCTTTGTCCTTTTCCTTCAGTTTCCTTAAGCAAAGAAATAAGAGGTATTTCCTGTATCTGATGGAAGCTCCTTGATTCTTCCTTCAGATCATCTGCCTTGTCTCTATGTGTGTTTTCCCTTTGAGACTCCCCTGTGACAGTGACAAAACTAAAACAATTTAGTGACAATTTCGATGTCCTTTATTCGGGGAAATAATCTATGAATTGGGGAAACCCAGTGCCTCATAAGCACTTTCCACTAAGAATGGGCTAAGGATAGATATAATGATAGAGTGGTCTATATGTTTAAAATGAGTTTACAAAGCTTTCAAGTCTTAATGATCTCCAACCCATTAGAATTCAGGAGTAAGATAATAGTCATCCTTGGTTATGTAATTGTATATTGATGGTGTAATTCTGCAGTGGAAAAAGACACAACAGCTACTGGGGCTTTCAGGGGTGGATAAATTGCTTGTACAAGGGGATTAAACTGCCGAACTTCACAATTAGAGATATTTCTCTCCCATCTGCCCAATGAATGACTCCAGTAGGTTTTCAAGTCTGTGAAATTCAGAATGAATAGTGAATTTTATATTTAATTTCTCTTTATTCCTTCCCCTTATTTATAGCTCATTTATAATAGCTTTGCTCAGTTCCTGGTCAAGGAGAAAGGGTATGACAAAGAATTACTAACTGTGACCCCAGAGGACTGGGATTTCTGGTAAGTTCTTTTTTTTAAGGGCTGCCCATTCCCTCTGTTTCTTAAATGTTGCTGATAAAATTTTAATGCTTCTTCTGTGGAGACAGAAAGTGAAATGTGAAACTGAGTCAAAAGACAAAATGCTTTCTCTATTAAAAGTTTTATGTTTCATTAATTAAAATCTTTTCTACTTTAAATTTAGACTTGTTTAATTAAATATGTAAATAGGCTAAAAGCTTCTTGACTAATTTGGATGTTTCTGTATGGCTTAAGTTTGTCATAAGTTTCAGAGGTTATTAAGAACTATCTTTAAAATTTACATCTTAAAAAAGAAAGTTTGCTTTATTGCCCTTCAAATACTGAACTGTAGAAGAGGAAGAATCATGTTTTGAATAAATGTCTGAACTGGGACATTTGGTTTTCTGTAATTTGGGTAAACGTTCCTGTCTCTAAGACTCTTACTGCTTACTCTTAGGGTTCTCTACTTGCCAAGGCTTATTTTGTCTCTCTTCCTTATCTAAACAACAAAATAAAAATCTAACACTTTAAAATTGGTCAGTTGAAAATTAATAATAAATCTAAAACACATGAAAAACACATACAAAAGTAATTCTAGAGCAATGATGTTCATCTATTATATATTTCTGCAGTGTTTGGTTAGTCCTTTTTGATGTATCCCTTTTGTAAAAAGAAGAAACACAAATATTTCACTGTATAAAACCGCTGACTCTGGAAATTTTACTGTGGACCAAAGTCAGTAATGCTTCTAAAGTACCCTGTCATTTTTTGTTTAATTCTCTTGGTATTTGGTGGCATTATACTTCCTTGCTTTATTATTCATAAAATGAATCTGTACCCACCTCTCTCCCCAAATCCCACAAGTCTTTTGCAGTGAGGAACCTGAAACTTAGTATTTGACTTTCTTTTAGTGGTTTTCAATAGTATGCCCTGCCCAGAGGGCAAGGTTTTAAAACCTGACCTAAATCGAGGCAATTTCTAAAGAATATAGGAGAGACTCTGGCTAAGAGCTTATCTGGCAGAATTTAAATGTGTGTGTGCGTGTGTGTGTATGTGTGTGTTTTATTTAATGAAAAATACTTGCACATTTTAACAGAGACATGAAATAATGTTCCTTTTTTTGTTCTAATTTTTGAATTCCTCTTTTTTTAAAGCTTAAGGATTTTACAAACTAAACATGCTGTCTCTCATTTTCCCACATGGCAGTTTTCCTTACATACTTGCTCTGTGGATGCTATTAAATTTTAGAATTCTTACTACGTGGCAATGAGAAAGAATGAAATGTGGCCCTTTGTAGCAACGTGGATGGAACTGGAGAGTGTTATGCTAAGTGAATAAGCCATACAGAGAAAGATACCATATGTTTTCACTCTTATGTGGATCCTGAGAAACTTAACAGAAACCCATGGGGGAGGGGAAGGAAAAAAAAAAGAGGTTAGAGTGGGAGAGCGCCAAAGCATAAGAGACTCTTAAAAACTGAGAACAAACTGAGGGTTGATGGGGGTGGGAGGGAGGAGAGGGTGGGTGATGGGTATTGAGGAGGGCACCTTTTGGGATGAGCACTGGGTGTTGTATGGAAACCAATTTGACAATAAATTTCATATATAAATAAAAAAAAAATTTAGAATTCTTGGATATTCTTGGTCTTTTTAACCAATATATCATTCACCTGCATGGGAGAATCCCTTTTAGCATTGTGACTTTTTGGAAGTATAGATTATTATTGCTTGGGGTTAGCCGAATCTATGAATTGATCAGTAATCAAATTTTTCTATTTTTAGTTGCAAGGGCTTGGCACTGGATCTGGAAGATGGGAACTTCATTAAATTGGCAGATAATGGCACCGTGCTCAGGTAATAAAATTTAGTTGTGAAATCTAAACTTTTTCTCCAGGACACTTTGTTATTATATAGCATTTGATTGTTAAGTACAGGTTAAATAAGATTATTATTTTTATCATTCAGATGACAGATCATGTGCTTCTGTTTCTTCGTATGAATTGTTTTAACTATTTAAGTACAGATCGAGAAGCATTGGACTTAAAGGTCTAGTTCTTTTAAATTCGGCTCACTAGAAATATTTGCAGGAAATTCAGGAGAGTTTTAATAACTTGCTTCATCTCATTGATCACCTCTACTGCAAAAGAGCCTGGAGATTATGTTGTTTTAGATGAGTGCACAGTTGCCTGGAATAAAGTGAGATTTCTTTTTACTAAGAAGAGAATGAATGTTGGGTAGGAGTTGGTGGTCTATGCACACTTCTCCTTCCTTCTCCATTTATCCAAATTTGTCCCCCTCGTGCAAGACTCCTGTTGTATTTTAGCTCCTTCTGGAAGTTTTTCTAGCCTACTCCAACCCTCATCAGTCTCTCTCACACTCAGTACTAATTCCCTTTCCTTCCCTCCTCTCAGGGTGCACTGGGCACTTGGAGTATTTGGGGGGAGTGGGACAAGCAGATGAGAAGCTGCCGCTGCCACTGCTCTGAGCCTTACAGAGCGGGCCAGGGTGTGGGCATCCGCTTTTCCCCCAGCACCCATAGTAGAGGCAAGCCAACGTGGCCACAGCTATGCGATTTATTATTTCTGTTGACGTGATCAGAGTCGAAGGAAAGGACGCTCAGCACAGGTTACCCCTGGCACATACTCTCCCTTTTGATACATCATTCTTTTTGCACGCTACGAACTCATACTCTCCCCTGGACCTCACGCTGCTAAGTGCAGATAACTACAACAGGTGTGGCCCCCCTTCTGATTATTTTGTTATTCATTTGCATGTTTCTTGCCTTGGGCAACTAGAGCTGAAGTGTAGTATGTATGTATACATACTCAATGCAGCTTTGACCAGGACCTTAAACTCAACTATCAGATTCTTAACAGTGTACTTAGCTCTCTTCAATCATAGTTAAAAGAATGTAAAGCATTGTATAGTTTTGGTTTTGTCTTTCATTGTTGTATTTGTCTGTCTGCCCCTCCCATCTCCCCAAACCAGAGCAAGCCATGGCACAAAGATGATGGCTCCAGAGGCGCTGGCAGAGGAGTATGGTGGGAAGGAGTGGAAATACTTCATGTCTGACACGGGAATGGCTTGCCGATCAGGTATGGCTTCAGGAGAGGCTTTGGGGGGGGCAGCACCACCATTAACGTCTCCTTTTGTTTTGGATGTTGAACCTGGGGATAGGGGCATGCAGGCAAGTGCCATTCTTTACCTCCTGTCGGCACAGTTACTAACCTGGGGCAGCCATGTTAGCTGATAGAATCATGATGTCTGCTGTCTGATACCTGTTTGGGAGTTGGTTCTGCTTCATTTAGGGTTTCATTGATTGCTCCTTTTACTTGTACTTGTTCTGGAGTGAAAAGACTAGCACCTAGGAATAATACATTCCCTCGTCTTCTATCTATTTTGGTTAGTTATGTATATGCTCATCCTTTACTTTCTCCATTCACTTTCTCCTCAGTATTATCTTACCCCACACTACTCTTGTTTGCTTGTTCTCTTGTTTTCTTGAATTCTCTTCTTTACTCTCAGTTCTAGTATCTTCTGCCTTTGTCTTTTCTTTTCCCTTATTTTAAATGATTTCATATATTTTCATATCTTTCTTCCCATTGTTTTTTTTTTTTTTTTTTTTTTTATTTAATTTTTTTTTTTTTTCAGCGTTTATTTATTTTTGGGACAGAGAGCAGAACAGTGACGCAGGGGGCAGAGAGGAGAGACGAGGAGACTGACAGAATGGAAACAGGCTCCAGGCTCTGAGCCATCAGCCAGAGCCCTGGCCTTGAGCCTCGAGAACTCACCAGGACATGGTCAGTGACCTATATAGCTGAAGTCGGACGCTTAACCGACTGCGCCACCCAGGCGCCCCCCTTCCCATTGTCTTTAAAGAACATGAATGGATTTCTCAAAACTTATTTGTAGACGTTGATATGCATAAATTAACAAGTAATGCTTAAGACATTATTATAAACACATAGACCTTGTTATGTTATAGTTGTTAGTTTTTCATTTGTTCTAAATGTTTGTGCCATTTTCTTTCACACTACACTTTTGAAATGCACCTGTTCCTCAGAAAATGTAGTAACCGGGGCAGGGGCGGGGGACACCTGGCTGCCTCAGTTGGTAGAACATGCGACTCTTGATCTTGGGGTTGTAAGTTTCAGCTCATGTTGGGTGTAGAGATTACTTAAAATAAAATCTTAAAAAAAAAAAAAACAAGAAAATGTAGTAAGAATATAGTTGGAGTTATTCCTTGTTATAGTTAGGTTTGCTTTGTAATATTCTCTGTCTTTTGAGAGTTTGTTTTGCTTTTGTACTGAGATCAAAGTGTCAGGAAATGAGTACTCCTGATAAAGTAAATCGGTAGGAAAACATATTTCACATTGGGGATCAATACACGATGCTTTCACACATCTCAAGTCCAAATGGCTGGTGGGAGTGAAATGGGTGTCTATGTTGCCCTTTACTCCGCTGAGGATAGAGGACTGCTGTTGTCTTTCCAGACATAGTCAGTTGTGGATAGCTGCCCTCCTCCCAGAAAGGCCAGGCACAGAGCTAAGTGTTTCACTCTGCCATCCATTCATTAAAGGAGTAAAGTACATTAAAGGAGTAAAGTATTTCTCAGCCAAGAAAAGAGCATTCACCCAGTAGGACCAACAGTCTGCCCACTCCTCTGGCTGCTAGTGGGCGCCACCTCCTGGAATCAGCAGCTTCCCTCTGGTGCTCAGTATAGCCAGGAGTGCTCTGAGGATGACCTTGGAATTTATCTCCTCTTTAACTGAGTTGGTTAGGGAGGTGTTTCCCCTTCCTGTGCTCAGTGGTCAGGTGGTGGTGACACATGACAAAGGCCTTTGTTTCTGCCACGTTGTAAGGGAAAACTTTGCCTTTAAAAAGTTATACACCTGGGGTGCCTGGGTGGCGCAGTCGGTTAAGCGTCCGACTTCAGCCAGGTCACGATCTCGCGGTCCGTGAGTTCGAGCCCCGCGTCAGGCTCTGGGCTGATGGCTCGGAGCCTGGAGCCTGTTTCCGATTCTGTGTCTCCCTCTCTCTCTGCCCCTCCCCCGTTCATGCTCTGTCTCTCTCTGTCCCAAAAATAAATAAATGTTGAAAAAAAAAATTAAAAAAAAAAAAAAAAGTTATACACCTTTTTTTAATTTTTTAATTTTTTATTTTTATTTATTTATTTTTTTAATACAACTTTTTTTCAATGTAGAGATCTATAAAAGAAGAAAAAACTGGCCTATGATTCCACAACCCAGTTAAATTTTGTTTACGTTAAAAAAAATACTGTGAGCAAATGGTTAGAAAATTTAGTTATAGAAAAGAGTAAAATGAAGAGTAATTATCTCCAACCCCTGGCCCCAGAATCCCCTTTCCTTGAACTTATTTCTCAAAAATACCAAAAGGAATCATACATTTTCTGTACTGTGCTCTTTTTAATTGACATCTTGGAGATCCTGTCACATTAGCACACAGAGATGTACTTCAGTCTGTTAAATGCTGCTGTGCTCTGCCATCCAGTGCTGTCCATCAGTCCATCCATAGTGCATACTGACTTTGTGTCTAGTGTCTGGCCATTACAAACAAGCCTGCAGTGATGTTTTCATATATGTATATTTTTCACTTTTGTGCAAATGCATTCAGGGTACACTCCTAGAAGTACAGTTGCTCTAAAGACATGTAGGTTTAAAATTTGATCAGTATTGCCAAATAAAACCTTTATTTTCATGAACACCAGTTGGTTTAGCTGTTTCCATCTACTTTGAGCGTACTCATTCCCAGAGTTAAGTAGAGCATTGTCAAGTGCATTCCCTACCAGTATGTTTAGGGAATTTAAAGCATTGATGGATACAGACATTTTACTGATCATTTACTTGATAATCACTTTTCAGGTTCTTGCACTGGCAGGAGTATGGTTTTCCTTACCCGCCGATTTCCAGAGAGCAAGTCCTTTTGACCTTGCTTCCCTCTAAACTGGTGGATTATGCAGAAATAACTTGGTATAGCGGAAACCACAGGGAGTGTGGAGGCAGGTGGTCCTGGATCATATTGACTCTGTTCCTTGCTGGGTCAAGTGATCTGGCAAAACACTAAGCCACTTTTGGCATCACTTTGTTCATATTTAAGTGAAGATGATATCACTCACCTGCAGGAGAAGTGAGCTAACATAAATTGTTCTCTTGCCTTCAGTCATTTGTGTGCCTCTGTTCTGTTATCAGTAAGAATATGTGGTTTGTAAAGTACATAGTTGTTGGCACTGGGTTCTTGGGGAGCAGTTTCTCTGTGAGCACAGCTTAACGATTTTAGGACTTATCTTCTTGTGGAGGCTTGTTTCATTGAACTGAGCTCACTAATCCCTTCATTGCCAGTGAGCTCTCTGCTTATAAGGAGGAGAGAGTCAAAGCTTTCATGTGGTAGTCTTGGAGTTTTGTTGTGGGAAGAGGCATTGAGAGCAGCCTGGTCCAGTTCACAGGTCAAGACTGAACAAGCCTCGGTGTGTCCACAGAGTGGTCATCCAGCCCAGGTTTGATAGCTGACTGAGTCAGCCCCTTGCCTTGTGGAAGGGAGTTTCATTATCCCCCTGCGTTATTTGCTTAGACCCCAACCAAGACTCGTGATCAGTGTTTCAGTTCTTTAACTGAACTTCATCTGTTAATGGCCATAAAGGGAGTGAAAGGGGAGGGGAAAGCAAGGGCACATATCTGGTGACGAGGACACCTGCTGCGCCCACTGTGCCCAGAGCAACTGGCCACTCTGGTGTCATAGGCCAAGAGAATAAATACAGGACAGGTTAATGTACCTTGGAAAGCTGTTCCCACTGTCTTAGGTCTTGGGAACCCTGGAGTATTATGTGGCCTTACAGCACAGCAAAGTGTGAGCAGAAATGTACATGTTATATTATCTCCCTCTTCCTCCAGATCCTGGTTCCTCACACTGACAAAGCCAGTCTAACCTTTCTTAGGAATGAAAAATAGTCTAATAAAATGAAAAAATGAAAAATAGCCAATAATTTCAGCTGCAAAAGAGTAAAAAACAAACTGTTTTTAACTGAGGGAAAGGATACACAAACCCACACAGCCATTTTGTGAATTAACAGAAGGAGAACTTTGAGTTTGTTTCATTTATGTTCTTAATAATTTGATATGAGGAAGTAAAAAGCATTAAATGGCAGTTAAAGGGATAGACATCTGGCCCCTGCAGAGGGTTTTCTCCTGTTAATTTACCCACGACACTCCTTCATTCCAGAAGTCCATTCTGCTATTAGATCATTCATTCGTTTGCTTAACAAACATATTGAGGGCCTACAATATGCTGGGTATTGTGCTTAGTGGACACTAAAGAGCAAGACAGCCGTGTTCCAGAACCTCATACATTACAAATGGGAGAAAGGGAGGACTCGAAATCAGGCACTTATAATAGTGCATTCAATGTTACGACCATTTGAAAAGTACTTTCTTACATTAAACTAAAATCTGGCTTCACCTTTGGTTGTTTGATTCCTCTTTGTGCAAGGGTTATGACATTGGGACCCCACACCCTGCCCAAAGCAAAGTGGTTGGTCTCAGTCCTGGTAAACAGGAGTGAGATGTTAGAGGCGATGAGACAGAAGGAAGGAGCAATGGGGGCTGGGTTCCACTGGGACTTCTGAGAAGCACTGAGAATACCTCCCGGAGTTGTCAATCCAAGGGACAGAAGTCTTCGCTGTCTCCTAAACTTGAGGCTCATCCACTGGTGCCTGGAGCTTGCCACGTGAGCCACATGGACTCCACAGGCTTTTGGGGAAAGTGAATGACACAGGTGTGCTTAGGTGGGATGATGTCATTTAGCACGGCCATGGCTGGGATCAGACTTGAGTCAAAGGGATGTGACATGGGTCATCAGGTGTCTGCCCAGGGATGTCAGATTCGAAAGTGACATCTGTACCAAGCAAGGAAGGGCTCAAGTTTGATTCTGTCCTAGGGCCAAATAGGATAAATTAAATTCCTCTCTTCCATGAGATCCTGGAGTGCCTGTCCTGTGCTCCTGAGATTTTCCAACATTAGTATGCTGTGTCCTGATATGATGTGCTATTTTTTTTTTATTCCTCTCAGTGCATTGGTTATTCTCACATTGCACTGAAGGTGGACCAGCCAGCACAGATATGGAAAGGCACTGTTGTATTGATTACTTCATGGTACTCCAATGTTAGACTGATTGTTTTGAAATTCAGTGACATTGGTAACATAAATTGTGGCTTTTTCATAATCCGTTTTATATTTGGGGTAAATCTATTTTTAATTTTTACATAAAAGCATTTTTTTTCATGAAATCCTTGAATTATGGATATCATATTTTAACTTTCTTGCAGCTTAAACCTTCTTTAAAAGACAACAATAGGGGCTCCCTGGGTGGCTTAGGCTGTTCAGCATCTGGCTTTTGATTTTGTCTCAGGTCATGATCTCACGGTTCATGTCATGATATCAAGCCTGCATTGAGCTTTATGCTGACAGTATGGAGCCTGTTTGAGATTCTCTCTTTCCCTCTCTCTCTGCCCCTTCCCCGCTTGCCTGCATGTATACACATGTGCTCACTCTCTCGCTCGCTCTCTTTCTCTCTCTCTCAAAAAAAAAGACAATGGTAGCCTGTAATGGAGCCATTCTGAATTGAAATAGAGGTCCCTTTAAGTGACTAACCCAAAATCTGGTGTCTCTTTAGTCAGGTTTCTGTGTGTCACATAAATGAGGCAATAATTTATTCCCAGTTTAAATTTTTGTTCTTTTTTAGGAAAATATTATTTTTATGATAACTACTTCGACCTGCCAGGAGCTCTTCTATGTGCCAGAGTCGTGGACTCTTTAACAAAGGTGAGCAGGAGCTCATTTTTTAGAAATTATGGTATGTATTTAGTCATAAATCAGAGGACTTAATTATATATGTCTTTTGAGTTGAGATTTTACTCAGTTTCCTCTCTGTAGTTGTAGAAGTGACTGAGGAAGAAAAACAAAATTTGGTCGAGTATTTTGGGAAAATTAAGTAGCAGTGACTATTTTTTTTTCTCAAGGATAATAAACCTATTCGCCAGCAGGGGGTGCAAAAGTCTAAAAAGAAAACAGACCACACAGGTGGAAAAATATTTTCTTGGTTTCATTAGCAGAATAAAAAAAAAAAAAGTAAGTAAATTCCACCTGTTCTTAAGCATTCTAAATAATATGAAATTAAAAAATGAGATGGAGTTTTTAAATTCATCATTTTGAGCAGTTTGATGCATGCAGACTTCATACTGTTTATGAAGATTGAATAGATGTCTGGTTCCAAGAAGTTACACTTAGTTAGGGCTTAAGACCTGTGAACAGAATCCAGTTTTATGTCAGAATTACTTTTCTTTTTTGCATATGTTGTCTTTTAAAATCATAATGATCATGTTGATAACTGAACATGGATAATGGTTTATTTTTGAACCAGAATTAGTCATGTTTTTGTGAAAGTTTCTGTTGAGCAATAATTTTAGTATGTTGGTAGAAGTTATTTACGTGAGCTGGAGTCAGTTTTTTATTCATAGTAACTTCAAGCAAATTTATCAGTCCTGAAATATTTCAGAGCTTATATAATTAGATACAAATACCTAGTAGTTTGTCTTTGTTTAGATAGAAGGACACCAGTTAATGTTTCCAAGAAAGCAAGGGGTTGTAGGGTTATGTGTTTTAATATAATGTTACTTGCTTCCTGGTTTAAAGAAATCTGAATAAAAATGGTGTACATTTTGGGTTTTGAACCTCCTTTATCTCTCCTGTAGAGACTTGCTGCTCTTTTATATAGAAATCAGGTAAAGTGCATTGAATTCTAAAGTAACCAGCTTTTAGGACTTTAGGAGTTGAAGTTTCTTAGCCCCATTGATGCCCCACTACATGAAGAGGCACATTCTGATATCTCAAAAGCTATAACACCATAAATTTACTCATGTGTTTAAAATACATAATTTTTAGACGTTACATTGAGTGGAAATTTCTATTTTATTTGGCCTATATGAGCTATATTAATATTTAATTATATGTATATATATTGTATATATATATTGTATACATATATATATATATACACATAACAGTGATTTTCATGGAAGATTTCTTTTTTTAAATCATTCGGAAGAATGAGTTTATACATCTATTACCTTTTCTTTCCAATTTTAGTATATGTGCTGCCGAAGCGAGCACTATCTATTACCTTTTCTAAAATATGAGTCCCAATTTTATTTTTTATTTTTAAAAAACTGTTTTTAATGTTTTATTTTTGAGGGAGAGACAGAGTATGAGCAAGGGAGGGGCAGAGAGAGAGGGAGACGAATCCGAAGCAGGCTCCAGGCTCTGAGCCATCAGCACAGAGCCCAACGCAGGGCTCGAACTCACAGACCATGAGATCATGACCTGGGCTGAAGTTGGATGCTCAACCAACTGAGCCACCCAGGCGCCCCATAAAATATGAGTCCCAGTTTTAGATTACAGTAATAATGTAATGGTTTGGCAAGTGTTTTCTACTGGGCTTGAAAACAGAATTATTACGTATGTTAACATTTGGAATTTTTTTTTTTTTTAGCAGAACAATGGTCAAAAAACATTTGATTTTTGGAAGGATATAGTTGCTGGTATACAACACAATTATAAAATGTCAGCTTTTAAGGGTGAGTAATGTGAAGAGAGATTTTCTAATAGATGTTTATTAAATGCTATGTCTTATGAATTACTTAGAAGTTACCTATTTTGTTATGTGTCTCAGTTAGGATTTACGTTCATCTTAAATTTTGCTATGTAGTTGGTACTGTTTACATTTTAAGAGGTTCTGTAATTCATGTCTGGTTCATGGCCATAATTGCCAGTATTCTGAGCTATGCTGTCTCTTACATGCCTGCCTAAAGGGTCGTTCTGTGGGCTCCCTAGAATTGAAGTTCACACTTCAGTATTTCCCAGCCTGGGAATGCAGATTACTCACACCTATAACCATTGATGTCGTGGTTATAGACTGGTAGGGGAAGTGAGAATTCTATTCTCATTGCTTAAAACAGGATTGGCTGACTCAGAATGGGGCAGAGACATCGCCAAGCTGCAGCTAAGGTTTCACAGCTGTATCCGCAGTCTGCTTGAGTTACACAGAGGATATTTCTAAGGAATAAAGAGATGGGTTTATCATATGTTACCTCGTTGACTCCAACCAGACTGTCCTGATTCAACCAGTGGGCTGACTGATAGATGCTCAAGAGCAGTGTTTCTCAGCTTAGAGAAATGTTGTCTTTTGATTGACATAAACTTGCCTGCCTTCTTTTTAATGTAATTTAAGCCATCAAAATGTAATATCAGCTCTTAAAAGCTGATATTAACGTAATCCTAAATATTATGACTAAAATCTGACATGATGGCAGCAAATAGTAACTGCAGAATATTTTTTCAAATTACATATTTCTCTGCCACCTGCTTTGTCCTTCCCTGAAGAAAATCACTGTTTTGGAGTAATCGTCTCACTTTTCCATGCCCAGTCACCTGCCCTTCACCCTGGCTGGTAGGTCCCATGGGGTCCTGTGGGGGCCTTTTCACAGTCCATCCTGAGTGCTGGGGGAGGGGGGTGTGGGAATGCCCATCCCCAGTAGAGGGGAGTATCCGTGACAACTGTAAAAGTCACCCACCTACCACTACTGTTTTACTTTTATTAACTTTGTAAAATGAAAAGCCTTCAAAGAATGGTTGAGAATACCAGATTGCTGCTGTCGAATAAATTAACACAAAAATCTGTTGATGTTATTTTATTGCATTGTAAATAAGGAGTAGGTAAAACATTTCATGCTTTAACAAGTGAGGCACAGCTTAAAAGTTTTAAACAGCAATATAAAAATACAGTACAGAGCATAAATAAATAACGTCTTTTCATTTCTAGTCAGATTGTGAAACGCTTGACGTTAGTTATACTTTCACTAGAATAGGAGGCTCAGGGTACATATGGTAATGGTCTGTAAACCCACAATATCATATTATGTAAGATTCAAGATGGAATTAAAGAAATCAAATTAATCACACTTGTATTAAGTAAATAAAATAGGTTAGACACCCATTTCCAAGTTACGAAGGGTATATAGGAAGCTTTCCTGCAGTCACAGAAAAGTTTGCAAAGGTTCATGGCTAAAGCACCTTGCATTTCAGAGTAATTTTAACATAATCTTTTGGTTTTATTAGAGCTGTAAGTCTATATGCACCTGTATGTTTGAATAGATCTTGATGAAGGGGCCATATAAGCCTTCGAGTAATGCACCATCAGAAAGATCTCAGGGTATACAGTGTCTTTGAAATTTGAATATTCAAGTATTTGAGTTCTATAAAGATATGATACCTCCTGATTGTTTCCTAGAAGTTCTCCTGTTAATTGTTAGAAACAGGCTTCTTTTTAAAAACAAATGCTGAATTTCTGAAATCAAATTTAACGTAATTTAGTGTCCCATTTCAGGGTTTCATTGCGATCATTTTATTTTTTTAGCCTAGTAGGACTTGCATGGTGAAATTTTTAAATACTGAAGGAGTTCACAGAAAACTTTAAAGAGTCTTAAGGCTGCTGACTAGAAATTCAAGAGAGTCTTCGCATATGATTTACCATTGCAGCTCGCTTTGTCAGGGGGACAGTTTATTGGTCTGAAAGCTCAAATCTGTATTTTGGAAAATTAAAATTAGTCACATTTTTTTTTTTGCCTACCTCCATATGCATTTTGTGGGGCGCAGTGGAGTTGGAGAATGCCTTTTCAAGCAGATTTACATTAGCTCGGTTGGGAATATGCTCACATTGGTGCCACCAAGAACCCTGAGAAGGAGGAGTGGACATACTCAGAGGAGTACAGCCCATTTGACCCAGCATTGGGCAGCTGGAGCCACACCTGGTCATTTTCTGTGAGATCGAGTATGGCACTCCCGGAAGCCTGATCCAGGTAGCCTTTGGTGTATTCATCATAGGTGTACATGACAGGGGTGCCGTTCTTATACAGGCCCACCCAAACATGGTTCCCTTTCACATGCACGTGGTAGGAGAAATAGTATGTTCCTGGGATCCTACAGGTAAAGATTCCAGTTCTTGAGTCATAATGCTGTTGCCTGTTATACAGAATCTTATCAAATGGGATGGGAATACCTATAGCTGGGTAAGCTTTGGAGAGAATAACAGTGAACGCAGACACAGGCATCCCCGTTACTCCCTGGTTGGCACTAACAAGAGGCCTTTGGCCTGCCTTTATAAAGCCCTCGGACGGGGCTGCCTGGCCTGGGGGGCCTGGAGGGCCTGGGGGACCGGGGAGGCCAGGCTCTCCAGTGTGGCCTCTCGGACCTGGAGGCCCTGGTGGCCCAGTGGGACCATTAAGCCCCTTAGTTGCAATGCCAGCTGGGCCAGGAGGACCTGGAGTTCCTGGATCCCCTTTAGATCCAGGGAATCCTGGAATGCCTGGTGGCCCAATGGGGCCTCTGGTACCTGGTATTCCAGGGGCACCTCTTGGACCAGCCTCACCATTGTGTCCAGGTACTCCCTTAGCTCCTGCTGGGCCCACAGGACCTGGGAGACCAGGAGGTCCTTTAACTCCAGGGTCACCTTTTGGGCCTGGGAGCCCTGGATTTCCCTTAAGACCACTGGTGCCTGGTTCTCCCGGGTACCCTGGTTTTCCATCTAACCCAGAGGAACCCCTTTCTCCCTTAGCCCCAGGGTGTCCTGCAGGCCCAGCCGGTCCTGTTTCACCTTTAGGGCCTGGAATTCCTTGGTTGCCTGGGATGCCTTTTGGTCCTTGGGGTCCCATGTTTCCGGGGGGTCCAGTCAGACCTGGTTCCCCAGGATGGCCTGCTGGGCCTTGTTCCCCTTTGGCACCTGGACTCCCTGGAAGGCCAATAGGTCCTCTTTGTCCCTTCAGGCCTGGTAACCCTGGTTTCCCAAAGCCAGGAGCCCCGGGGACCCCAGCTATTCCTGGGGCCCCAGGGTGACCTTTTGTCCCAGGAATCCCTGGCTGGCCTGGGGCTCCAGGGGCTCCTGGCTTTCCAATGCCTTCTGGTCCTCGTTCCCCAGGAGGACCTTGGGGGCCTGGCGGGCCAGCTGGTCCTCTCTCTCCTGGAAAGCCCCGATCACCTTTGATGCCTGGCTGCCCTGGAAGCCCATTTTCACCTCTTTTTCCTACTCCAGGAGAGCCAGGTGGTCCCATGGGACCCTGAGGGCCTGGAAGGCCCCTCTCACCTGGGCGTCCAGGAGTACCATATCCTGTTTCCCCTTTCTGTCCATGCACACCAGGGACTCCTGGTGTGCCCTTTTCTCCAGGAAAGCCTCTGGGTCCTGGGGCTCCTGGAGGTCCTTGTTGTCCGGGTTTTCCTGGAACAGTAATTCCAGCTGGGCCAGGGATTCCAGGTGGCCCTGGTGGGCCCCGTGGTCCTGGTAAACCAGGTGGTCCAATATCTCCTTTGGGTCCATATAGTCCTTTCTCCCCGGGTTTTCCTGGGAGTCCTGGCAAACCTGGCTTTCCAGTGGTGGATGGTCCTGGTGGTCCTGGTAATCCTGGCTCTCCTTGGGGTCCAGGACTTCCGTAGCCTGGTTTTCCTGGTGGTCCAGATGGACCCGGGTGCCCTCGAGGTCCCACAGGGCCTGGGGGACCAGGGATACCTTGCTCTCCTCTTATTGATACACCTGAAAGACATGTCCGATACACAGACCCAGAGAGAGGGATGATTAGTAATGTTAAGGGATCATTGCTTCTTGAAATATAAATCAGGACAGGACATGGCAGTGTCCGTCAGTCCATTTTGGCAGACTAAGCTCAAACGGTTCCAGATAACACATTCTACATTGTTTTTAAAAACACTGCCAGAGGGCACGGTTTCATAAAACCATGGCTACCATAGTAGTTTCATTAGATCCTAATTATCCATAAAAATAAACTGGGATTGAAGAATTCATCTAGAATAAGAGTATAGGGGGGACTGGGGCGCCTGAGTGGCTCAGTCGGTTAAGCGTCGAACTCTTGGTTTTGGCTCAGGTCATGATCCCACAGGTCCTGAGTTCAAGCCCTGCATCAGGCTCTGCACTGACAGTGTGGAGACTGCTTGGGATTCTCTCTCTCTCTCTCTCTCTCTCTCTCTCTCTCTCTCTCCTCTCTGCCCTTCCCTTGCTTGTGGTCTCTTTCTCCTCTTCTCTCAAAATAAATAATAATAATAATGAAAAGTGTACAGGTGAAATATTTACCTTACCCCCATTTATTTGGAGAAAATCATCTACCTCAAAAGGAAAGGGGAAAGTATTTAACAGTAAAGGAATGAAGAGACAAATGCAGAAATAATGGGAAAATATTTAAGAACTCTAACAATTGTCTTTCTCAAAAGCTAGCCTATATGACATCAGTGAGAAGTGCTATTGATTTCTAGTTTATATCTGCCATGGTTCTGCTGAACACAGTTTAGATTTAGTTTGAATTTTTTCAACTTCAGTACATACTGTGAGCTCCTACATTCTCCTTTAATTGACTTAAAATCGAAACAAAGAATTAGAGAATTAGATCTAATGGGCAAAGTATATATAAAATAGTATTAAAATATTTATCTAAAGTTTTTTTTGACTAATGCAAATAGATATTGTTGATTTCATAAAGCTGTGGGTTCATTTGAACTAAATACTTCTACTGATATTATGGATTAAATTCAAAAATCACTTATTCACTGCTTGCGGTGTGAAAAGTGCCCCTGGGCCACAAGTGTGGGGGAAGCACACGACACATCTTATAAGAGTCCTCAAGGGAGCAAAACACGTGTCCATGTGATAAGTGCTTAAAGAGGTGTCCACGGTTTTGGTTTTAGTCATTCAAAGGTGGGATTAAACAGAGCATTACTGCCATTAGGATATATAATTAGGGAAGTATTACCATGTCAAAGAATCTTTAGGCAACAATCATCATAAACATCTATAAGATATTCTTTCTCAGAGAAATTCTTTAATAGCAAAAATGGTAATAAAATGACATGTGATTTAAGTGTCTACTTGCAGAGTTTATATTAAAATCACTTTCTGTTTAATAAATTTTCAGGAACATAGATGGAATGCCTTCATATACTATTTAGATTCTTACACGTTGGAAAATGGTTCATAGTAATGGTAGATTTAGCAAATGGCATAATCGTTGAATGGTTTGGTCAAAACCCTGAAAATGACGTTTGGCTGTGACTTTTGAGCCATACCTTTTTTGTACAAAAATGATTATTTAATTTACTTAAACTTTGTCTAAGTCTTTAATGGCTTTAGAAATCAAAATGAAAACTAAATTGGAATTAATATTAAGTGAATTGAAATAAATTGTAAATTGCCTTTGAACACATATGCCTATGGGTATAGTTCCCATTAACTGTTAATTGTTGGTACATTATTATATTTTTAACAATCTTTCATATTAATTAACTGGCATGTAAGAAGTAGTTAGCCAACAATAGTTGCCTATTCTCCTGGGTAGAGAGATTCCTGATATCTGAAAAACATTTAGTGACAAATGAAATGTAAAATACAGAGCAGAATCATTAAAATAGATGTGCTGAAAAAGGAAAATTACTTTAGACTTGGATATTTTGTACTGATTAGAGTTATGTTTTGTTTTGCAAATTTTTAAATGTATAGAACTTTATTCACCCCTGAATTTTCAGAAAATGACATCAGGAAGAAGATTATGAGAAAAATTAGTTTATGGAAAAGATCTCCACGTAATCATACATATCTTATTGATAGATTGACTTTTTAGTGGACATATACGATATGTCTATAAGTGTAAAGGGGTGTGATACATTGCAAGTAGAATAGATGAATAAGTAGAAAACAAAATAGTACATTTTTTTTCAAATGCAAGCTATGTTAGATGGGGTTTGCTTTAGAATCTTATTCTGAATCTCCTAAAGGTCAGTATCCATACTAAAAATGATGGTCTTGGTCTGGTTAGAAATCTGTTTAATGTTAAAATAGGGAGTAAAATAGGGAGGAAAAACAGTCTTACTGAAAATGACTGTATAGAGCATCTTTTGAAACTGGAAGTTCCAAGACAGGGTGATCTCAGTCACTTGGAATGTTGCCCTAATAGGTCCTCCACCTCTTCATGCAAGAAAGAATGTGAGTTCTGTTGTGTCTTTGGGGGATAGCCCCTGTTTGTTGCTTGCCAACTGAAAAAAAATTAAAGATTAGGGTGATACCATCCTCAAGGAGAAATGATTACCCAGCAGAAAAGTTTCTGAAATGCCACAAGCCAAAATAGTGGTTGATTATGTCAGAATGTGGCATCCACCTGGCCACCAGCTCTGCAGTCCTTTGCAGTGTAATTTAGTGTGTTTTGGCTGAGCTGTCTTTGAGCCTGTGTTGAACAGATGAGCCCAGGAATTAAATAGGCACTCTTTGTGTTTCTGTTATCAGTTTAATGTTATAATTGTATAAATTGTGGGCTTTTGTCTTTCTTTCAGTGCATTAGTGCCTGCCAGTGAATTATAAGGTATTTGAGTTTCCACCTCAAATTATTATCAAGTAGAGACCTTAGTGGAGTTAACAATTAAGATGCAGCTTCTCAACTTTTCATTTGTTAGTAAGATACATATTTTCATTTATTCTGCAGAAATAGCCAAGTACATGTGATGCTTGAGTCTTTTTAACTCAAGACTGTTTCATATGATCTTAGTAAACTATAAAAAGTGTGACTTAGTGATCATAACAGTGTACCCAGTGATGTTTGTCCTAGCATTTCACATTGCTGTTCGTTGCTTCAAGTAAAGTAGCAGGTTTCCTTATCTTTTATTCTTTCTTTCTGTAACTTTTCTCGTTCTCATATATTATTGTATTCTGAGACGTTCAGAAGTTTTTGTTATGCACCTGTGCCTTTGTTTTCATTGAGCTCCCTTTCCATGAATTGCTTTAAATTTTGTTTTTCTCAAGAAGAGATTCCTGTAAGTTTAACTTGCTCAAAATGGTTGTCTCCAAAAGCATAATTTGTAAAGTTTATGGCAAATACCCTTAGCATTATTTGCAAGGTAAAATATATAACTATAATGAAAAAATACTAAGGAAAGGAAATTTGAGTCCTGCAATCAGTTCAGATTGTTCAGTTTAATTCAGTAGATTTTTACAGGCAGTTTGTGCCAGATGCTATTAAAATAGAATTAGCAAATGTGAAACCTAATAATTGCCTTTCTTGAGGATCTGTTAGTAGTGTACATACATTTCCTCAGTTCACTTCATAGTAACTGAGAAAGCTGAACAGTTGGGAAATGGATTCAAGAACAAAGTTAAATCGTGTCTAAGGCTACCCCACCTGTACCACCACAAGTGAGGAGGAGGAGTACCCGTAGTGCTGCTAATACTTGAGCACTTGACAGGTATTCACTCACTTAAGCTTCATGACAGCCCTTGGAGATAGCTGCTGCTTCTTTTACAAATGAAGAAACTAAGGCACAGAGGGGACAAGTAACTTACCTGAAGTCACATAGTTAGTACAAGGCAGTTCATAAGTCTGAGTACTTAACTGCTAAACCATACAGAAATTTATAAAGAACTGTGAAAATTGCTGCTTCATTTGTCTGTTAAGTTTCTTGGGAAGGCATTAGATTTTATTTGATAATTAAGACTGAGTTTTGTATATGTGGACTGGCTGAATCGGTTGTAAAAGTAAATAATGGTCAACTGTTTAGATGGATAAACCTGCTACTCTTTGTACAATTGTCAATTATTTTTAGTTAAAACATTTTAAACTTGATTAATTTTTATTAGATTCATATTTCTAGATTATGGGTAATTGCACAAAAGCATCATTTGAGGGAAAAACTTTGCACACATAAAAGTTCTTACTATTCTTTGGGTACATCTTTCTACTATACTCATTATACAAAGGATTTTAATGTTCTTGAATAGACCTGCTTTTTCCATAAATTATTTTGTTCTAATATTTCGGACAGGTTCGGGAGTTCAAAGGTAATTGAACACCAAATAGAGTTAATTTTGTTTAAGAGATCATTAAGATTGTAGAAAGCAACAACCAATATGTTTATAGAGCAAAATACACAGTTTTGTTTACCTTTACTCTTTATGGCATAGGGAATGAAGAACTGTGTCTTAGTGTTGGGTAGTGGGCCTTTTATGCCTGTAGGTGTTTGGTATCGCTCAGCATAAAATCCTCCATGAACCAGGTTCAGGGACAGTAGCAGCAAAAGGGCTGTTTGTGGCAGCATGTTCTCAGATGGATTCTGAAAAACAGAAAAGAATAGTGTGTTGTTATTGACCTGTTTTATCTGTCTGATGTTGGACAGATGAATTCTTTATTCTAAAAGGTAGTTAGGTACCTTTTTTTTTTTTTTTACCTTATCCTGTTTTTAATGTATTCCATAAATCAGAATTATAAGTTTTTAGTTACATGAATATATGGCTTAGTTGTTATTGGAAACCACATTCAAGTAATCAAGCAAAACTGAAGTGATTTTTTAAAAAAAGACACACAGAAACCATAATTGGATGCATATATTAATAATTCGGTATCTTTAACATAGATTGAAACATCCACTAGTTCCAAAATACACTGAATAGGACATGATTTTACCAATATGATTTTATTAAGTCTGTCTTTTATGTAGACTGATACGAATTAAACTTTCCAAGTACACTTTAGTGGAAAGTCATTTTTTTTAAATGACAAAAACCAAATAGTCAGTTTATTGAGGCTTATTTCCAAATAAGCTAACATGGAGGTCCACTAGAGTATGAAGTGATAGACTTACCTGGTGCCGGCGTTCCTGGAGATGATTTCTTTGCAGCTTTCTGAACCCTCCTGTGCCCAGGTGAGCAGTGCAGAAGGGTGCCTTCTTCAGAGCTATCCGGCAGTATTTATACTGTTTTTTCCCTTACTTCATGAGGTTACCCTGAGTTTAAGCTCCTCCCTCGAGAGGTGGAGAGAGTACTAATTATGGTGGAAAGTTCTATTGGGCAGGCGTACAGGATCAGGTTGGGCTGTCTTTCCTTGTTTTCTTATTGAAAAATAAACTCTTTGTCTTAAATATATATTAATAGTTTTAACCATGCACCATCTTTTTCTATGATTTTATTTTAGAATTTATTACTCAGATGTTTAGGTTGGTTCATGATGGGATGATAATACCCCCTTTTATTTTTGAAAGTACATTCTTGTGTTATTTGTTTGAAAATATTTGGTAGTGTATGTAAGTAGGAAAGGAAGTCTTTTGGATGGGGATGTGGATATGAACCATCATCTAAATTCTTTAATTATGACGGAAAGCCACCAATGTGTCCATTAATGTTCTTAAACTTTTATGAAAATAGCTTACTCCTATTCTTACTTATTTTTGAGCTTGAGAAAAACAAAATGGTAAAAATGTAGATATGTATTGTGTCTTAGGATTTTTGTGTAAGTCCTCAGAAGTTAAGAGAAATTTTATGTATGTTAGTATATACATACTATATTTTAATTTTTCATATTAAATATTTTAAAGTTTTCAGAAATTTCAAATTCCATGAATTTGGTAGTAGAGTTAGCAATATAATTACCCTGAGGGATTATTTACAACATTACAATGTATTCAGTAAATAGTTTCAGGTTTTATTGCTTCATTTTGAATTTTACTTTAGATTTTCAGTAGAGATTACAAAAGCCTTAACTGATAATGTCAGATCATGTCTGTTTAAATAAAATTGTTAAGTTCATGGCAGATGAAGAAAATTCCTCAAACTTTGCTTTCAGTTTAAAAATCTCCGTGGCTTACCTTACCTTTAGGAATCTTGATTCAGCCCAGTTAGAAACATTTTTCCCCTCAAGATGCAAGTAAACATTATCATTGTCATTTTCAATGGTTAGAATTCTCTTTAACAATATTAAGAGACTCTTAAAGTCAGTTTTCAGGATGCTAAAAAATCTAATAAAAGCGGAATGTTGAGAGGCCAAACTTTGTATCCAATTTTATTGTTTTGGAGCTAAATTAAATCAACTGTACAGGTGAAGTAGGTGAGAAGAAAAACTCCATAACAGGCATAGATACAACATTTTGAAAACCTCTGCAGAGTTAGGGGTGCCTGGGTGGCTCAATCGCTTAAGTGTCTGACTCTTGGTTTCAGCTGAGGTCATGATCTCATGATTTCAAGAGTTCCAGTCCCACATCGGGCTCTGTGCTGACAGTGTAGAGCCTTCTTGGGATTCTCTCTCTTCTCTCTCTCTCTCTCTCTCTCTCACTGTCTCTGTCTCTCTTAAAAATAAGTAAATTAAAAAAACAAAAACCTCTGCAGAATTAAAGTAGTATGGTTTCAGGATTGATCAACAATTGAAATAATTGAATGTTTGACCGGTGGATGAAATAAAGATTTGTTCTTTTTGTTGTCCTTTCCTCCTCCTGTGCCTGTCATTTTCTGTATTTCTTTAGATTAAGCCTTGTATAGCACCTTACAGAAATGTAAACAGATAGCTCATCTCGGTGATCCGCTTTCTCCTAACTCTCACTTTTAAACCTTTCCTTGGTTGCCATATTTAAAAATCTACAAGGTCCTATATGTCTTTATAAATACTCCTAGATACACATGAAACACAGCCTTTATATCAGTTTAGATTAACAGGAGAATTAGAAAGTTTATATTCTAATACTTCTTTCATCATTTGGAAATTGTCTATGGAACAGCTTTTGTAATTATATAATTAATATGAGCTCTGCTATGTCTAACAGACTGCAAAGGTAAGTGGGAGAAATGGCTGCCTTCCACTTACTTATGGTTCATTTGGATAATGTTTTGGAAAAGTAGGTGAGGTAACATGGATGTTCTTGAAGGCTAGGCTATAGAATTTGTTTGAAAAGGAGTTATTAGAAGTACATGTTGTAGGGGCACCTGGGTAGCTTAGTCGGTTAGTGTCTGACTCTTGATTTAGGCTCAGGTCATGATCTTATGGTTAGTGAGTTCAAGCCCCATCTGGGGTTCTGTGCTGACAGTGCAGAGCCTGCATGGGATTCTCTCTCTCCCTGTCTTTCTCTGCCCCTTCCCCACTTGCATACGTGGTCTCTCTCAAAAATAAACATTAAAAAAATTAAAAAAGCAAGTACATATTCTAGTATTTTTGTATGTATATATGGTTACACACACGTACACTTATTTGTTTAGAATCGAGACTGATACCTGTTAGATACCATTCATATGGAAGTTGAGAAGATTAATTCTCAGCTCTTCCTAGTGCACCTATGTAGACCATTTGTTCATCTGTGGCTACTCCAGCTATTTTCAGAGCTTTTCACCTTAAACTCTCTAGGTGTCTGTTACACAATGAAAAGTTTGGACTAGGTTTCTAAGCTCCTCAGCTTTAAAATTAGATTATTATTGTGTTTGAGGTATTTTGCTGTTCCCCATGGTGAGACAGACAGTGGGCTTGGCTCCATTTAGTACTTATTAGACAAAGTCCATACCAGGTGGTCATATGCCTTCTTTTTGGGATATGTAAATATATGTGGGTATTTGTCAATCTATATTCCCCTTTAACTTTGGAAAATGTGGTGTCTTTATTGGAGAAGCCCTGGACATTCAACCCTTTTTGCAAATAGTGTATTTATTTCAGCGCAGGGAATCTGACTGCTGTTTGCTTTGTTAGTCACATAAGAAGTACTGTCTTGTCCAAAACAGATTGTAGAATCAGAATATTTGCTAGCCACACCTCACCCAATTGTGTATTTAAAACTATTTTTACTTTGGGAGTTTACTTGTAGCTGTTTGAAGTGCCTAGTCTGTGGCTTCATGATGAAAACCCATCCTACTTAAAACAGAAAGCCATGCTTTTTAAACGCCGTAACCTAAGTGAATTTAAGTATCATATATGAATGTTTTTTGCATATCTAGCATTTAGCCGCTTTAAGCTTGCCTATCCATTTTCACTACCCAGGGTTAGTCGTTAACTCTGAATATTTTTTGAGTACCTCTTATGTGTCCGGCATAGAGATAAAAAGTGGGTGAATAATGTGCGGCCCCCACCCTTACTGGGTTTGAACAGTGGTTCACAACCTTTTTTCCCCATTTCTACATTTCTGGGGGACATGACACAGTCCCTTCAGTCTTCCGTGTTCTGTGAGATAGTGGTGGTTCAGAGACTATATTCTGAAAAAGCCCTTCAGGTGATCATAGTGGACTCCTAAGTTGGAATATCTTGGTCTGATAACACTGTTTGATTACAGCTTATTAATATATTGTTACATAGTTTTTGTTGTTTTGTGCATATAGTTTTTAACTTTATCGTGGAAAATTTTAGTCTCAGATAGAAATAGAGAGATTAGTTACTGTGAGTGCCTAGGTACCCCTTTACCCAATTTAAACTAATCTCAGCTCCTTGCCACTCAGTCCTTCCATTCGGCATAGCCCAAAGTTGTGGGCAAATGCTACACATATGTTGTACCAATTCACCTGTGAATATTTCAGTATACTACTCCAGAAAATGAGTCCTTTTTCTCTAAAACAAAATCTTCATCATACCTAAAAAACTAACCATTTCTTAATATTATCAAATCCATTAGTCCGTGTTCATATTTTCCTAGTTATTTTAATGTATGTACACACACACGTACATATGTATGTAAGTGTATACATGTTCATATATAAGCATATATAGATAATTCATATAGTGTGTGTATATGTGTATATATACATGTACATACATATTTATGTTTTTATTGGTTTATTCTTTGTTCAAATTAGGTTCATGAATTGTCTCTAATTTTTTTTTTTTAATGTTTATTGATTTTGAGAGAGAAAGTGAGCGAGCATGCCAGCAGAGGAGTAGCAGAGACAGAGGGAGAGAAAGAATTGAATCCTAGGCAGGCTCTGTGCTGATGGTGCAGAGCCTGACGCAGGGCTCGATCTCACCAATCGTGAGATCATGACCTGAGCCAGAATCAAGAATTGGATGCTTCATCAACTGAACCACCCAGGCATCTGAATGGTCCCTAATTTATATGTTCCTGTTACTGTAGTTTTCTCATCTATGTCTCTTTATTTCCTTTGCAGTTTATTTGTTGAAAACTGGGTCATTTACTTTGTACAGTTTCCCACAGATTAATTTGGATTTTGTGTCACTTAAAATACTTTTCTGTATCCTGTGTTTCCTATAGATCGGTAGTTAGATCTAGAGGTTTGATCTCCTTCAGGTTTGAGACACACACACACCCACACACACACACACACACACACACACACACTTTTG